CAGCAGTGAAATGTACAAACAAATTATGACAAAGTCTAAGGCTTTCTTACCTTTGTTTTTAATACATGTGCTTAAGTGTAAGTTGATATAATTAATTTAATTTTTAGTATTGTGTTAACCACTGGATTTCAAAATTCTTGGTTATTTAACATTTGGCTCTGTAAACCAGCACAAAGCAACCCTGCTGCCTCTGTGGATGTGAGCAGGATCCTATGCCCGTTGCTGCCTTTATACATCACAGTGCTGTTTTGGTTCTTCTGACTCATGTCTGGGTGGACTTGACAGACTCTGGATCACAATGGACCATTCTGGCACTTGGATGCTTTGAATCCCATGAGCCTAGCCCATCACCGCTACCATTTGATTTACTGCTACCAGTGGCGAAGGCTTCTCCCAGAGCCCCCTAGGTCTGCATTGAGGTCTCCATCAGAGCTTGGCTAACACTATGTACTTTATTTTCCCACCTTTAACACAGGTGGGAACCACAGCCTGGTCCCACCCATAGTCCATGTGTGCTATGGGCCTTTCTAAGCTGTAAGCGTATGGCATCCTGGTATGGGGCTGGAACAGTGTCCCCACAACAACCAGGGGAGCTGTACCAGGCTCTTTACATGGAAGATGCCTTTTGCTTTGGTGCAGGTTTGTACCCAAAAGCACCCAAGATCCCTAAAGCTAGCCAGCAAGATCTGTTCCCTTATTTGACAACTCTTCCTCTTGAGGCCGACTGCCAAAGTCCACCAATCAGAAGCCCCCTTTGATTCACCTAATTAACATACCCAGTTAAAATTAAACACCTCGTCCGTCCTAATACGAGTTCTCCCTTCACTTTTATAAACCACCATTTTCCTATGTGCCACATCTGTCTCCCCTCTATCCAGAGACAGTCCTTTGTCCCCCTGGGACAAACACTCCTGCCCACTTTCCCCTTCCCCTTGTCCCCTTCCCCTTCTCCATCACCCCATCTCCTTTACCACTGTGTCCTAGCCCATTCTAACACAGACCTCCCCTTTTCTCCTCTTAAACATGACACCTGCAAGGTCATTTGCTGCTGTTTTCTGTCTGAGTCAGAAAGCAGCCACTTTAACTTTTTTTTCCCAGTTTAATAAAGAATCTCTGTAAATAGAGGTGTTTGGGTGTGGTTTGTGAGGGAGTCCCCTTCACTTGCAATGGAAGGAGCTGACCCAGCATCTGCTTAGGGCTGTCCTCAGAACAGCACTGTACTGCCTTTGCTGTGAGTGCTCAGGGGCAGTTCAGGATAAAGGGCTGTTTATGTAGGTACACAGGGCAACAGATTCTGGGACGGTGGCTAACTTACTAATTGTATAGTTTGTCTTTATAAACAAAGGCGTCCTTTGCTCTGTTCATGGTGTTTGGGGCACTGGCTGACTTCAAGGATCATGTATTCTGTTTTTAGCTGATGTATATTGTGCACTAAACACCATCTACATTGCTGTTGTGTGGCTATTTTCTCCTAATTGAAGCATTCCCCGCTGGAGGAGGAGGCTCCTAAGACTCAGGAAGCTCATGAAACTTACAAGACTGTTGTTCAAATCTTAGATGGTCTTTTAATAAAAAAACCCGGAGCCAGATATCAGGGTGAAAGCTGAATTATCAGAGAAGCAGAGCAAGCTATAGCCACCACCTATTACCTCACAAACTCCACAAATCCTCTGAAATCCTGAGTCTTTTCCTGAAAATGTCTCAGCTGAACTGTTTTAGTTCCTGTTTCCTCATGCCTTATAAACCTTTGTCCACCCAGCCATATCACTTCCTGGGATTAAAGGCATGTGTGCTTCCCAGTACTAAGATTAAAGGTGTGTGCCACCACTGCCTGGCTCTGTTTCTAGTGTAGCCTTGAAGTCACAGAGAATCAAATGGATCTCTGCCTCCCGAGTGATAGGATTAAGGATGTGTGCCACCACTGTCTGGCCTCTATGTCTAATCTAGTGGCTGGCTCTGTCCTCCAATCCCCAGGCAAGTTTATTAGGGTGCACAATATATCACCACAAGACTCAGTTATAGTGCAGAGCTCACAAGGTCACGTCTCCCCTCCCCCATTCTCCCCAGTCAATGCTTTAAAAGCAGTAAACAGTAGCTAGTGAAGTGTCACCCATGGGCTTTTCAGGGATGTAGCTGTTTTTGATCACTCATACTCTTGTAGGTAACCCCAGTAAGCTCTCAGGTTTATCAAGCTGGACTTGTGTGGAATGTTTATTTGGTTTGTGGTTGATGCCTTATTTGGGTTGAAGAAGAAAAACCATACAACAACTCCCTAATAACTCGAGCAAGTATATGCCTATGATGAAACTGGTTTGAAGACCCTGAACCTACTACTGGCTCAGTGCTGTCTGTGTCTTGATTCTCTTCGCATATTGGAGCAATGAATATGATCAGAACATGGAATAATAGACCAGACACACTGTAAAAGCTGATTAATCCTTTTGTTTCCTTCAGAATTGAATGTTCCACTTTAATTGAAATTGTATTAAATAGTCAGGAGAATACCCCCAACCCAAGGTACTTTTTAAATCTTTGTAAATAATTAGTTGGATCTGTGTAGCAGCTTCTTTTTATTATTCAAGATTGCCTTTATTGTATGCCTAGGACCCACACTTTTCTAATTAACTGCTATTATCTTTATAAGTAAGAATAAGGACTGTAGCTTTTATTCTAAAATTACAAGACCCCAGATGGTTTAGGCAGCAAGCATCCTTTCTCTTACTCTCCATGTTGTTCGAAATTTGCATTTTTCACTCTTCCTTTATATTGCCAGTGTTTTGAATATAGAATTCTTTGATAGGTAACAAAGAAAGCTAGCATGATATTCTTCAAACCAGAAAGACAGAGTGATGTGACCTGTACATTATATTTAGAGTTATTGAGATCCAAGCACAACTATGCTGTGGGCAGAGTTATTTGTCTCAAGTAAGTGTGAGTGTGAATGTTTTGGCTGTGTGACCTGCCTTGGATCATGTGCCAAGGTAGTGGTAGGAAGCCAATACCACACTCAGGATACCTGCAGATAACTTACACTGAGCCAGCTGGGCACAGAGAGGCTTTACAAGGACATGTGGCTGAGGCATTTGTAAAGAACATATTTTCAAATCTTCAACCTCCATTTTCCTACAACTGCTTGAACATGTACCTGTGATTGTGAAGTCGTCCTGGTTCCTGTTTTCCTTTCTCCCACAGTCAACGTTATTTCGGTTTATAAACAAGATGCATACCTCCCCCTAAAAGTATTGTGCTATAACTGTGAGAACTATGGAGGCAGCCCAGCATTGGTTCTGAAATGTAGGAGTCAGGACACCTCCCTGCACCAAGACAGCAGCCACTTAGCACAGCTCAGTAGTTCCCTGCCCACGCTTACTTCTGCACAGGGGAAGGCCTAGGAGTAGGGTTTTCAACTCACATCATCAGCTTGGGTAGTAATGAAATATATTAGAGTTAGTTGTTATAGGAATTCTTAGAGATAAAAATTAAGCCAGGATGAATGACTCAGGCCTGTCATCCCAGTTACTTTAGAGACAGAGCAGGAAGAATCCAAATTCAAGGTCAGCAGAGCAAGTTCAAAGCTAACTTGGGCAGTATAATGAGATCCTGTCTCAAAATAGGAAATACAAAGAAGAGAGTTTGGGATGTAGCTCAGTGGTAGAGCACTGGCCTATCATGTGCCTGGTGCTGGGTTTGGTCTCCAGACACACACACACACACACACACACACACACACACACACACACACACACATCATCCATCCATCCATCCATCCATCCATCCATTTATTTTTCTTTCTTTCCCTCCAAAGAGAGATCAGACTTGTTTAGCCACAATTATAAAGTCTAGGGACTTTTATTAGTGAAGCTGATGGTAGCTATTTCCCATAAATCAAGTGAGTTGATTCACAGCTCTAAGACTTTGATGAGAACACAGTCAAAGCACCTCAGCTGGGAGACAGTTTCTGTGACTATCTCATGTTATCTATAGCTCAAGTTTTTTTTTGAATAAAGGTCAGGTTTAAACAGAAAACAGCCTTAGAAGCCAGAGGCAGTGCATCCCACAGGAGAGGTTCAGAGACACACCTCCCTTCTCTGAATTGTTCGTAGGGTAAACAGCTTTTAGCAAAGGAATGAGAGAAATAAGCACCAGTATTTGGTTAGATCTCAACAACGCCCTGGTGGACTTCTCAGGTGTAGAAAAGGTGACTAACCCTTAGAATAGGGTAACAGGTTACTTAGCAAGTGTGATGGGTTCTAACTATGTACTTTTGACAAAATGGATAGATTGTTGGCCTATGTGTCAACAAATGAGCACTTGAATATAGGTAATTGTGCAATATGAGATGGAAAGGGTTTAAAGACTTCCTACAGTCCTGTTATTGGTTCACACAAGCAACCAATGAATACAAAACTTAGATCAGAGTGACTGCTTCATGGTTTCTTTTTGTAGCAACAAGTAAAAATAACCTGGAATACAATAATAAGTACTTCATACTCTCTTCCTTCAAACTATCTCTCAAATGCTGAGAACAGCCTGCTATGGTCTGAATGTTCAATCTTGAAAAATGAGTGTGTCAAAACTGAACTTCTGAAGTTTCCTTGGAGGGGAGGTCTTGGGGAAAGTGATTAAGCCTTGAGGGTAGATGTTATTGGTGGGATTGGTACTTTTAAAAAAGAGGCTTCTGGAGCTGAGGTGGCTTAGCAGTTGAGAGCACTTGTTTTTGCAGAGAACCTGTGTTCAGTGCCCTGCATATACATACAGAATCTTATAACTATCTATAACTCCAGTTTCAGGGAATATTATGTCATCTTTGGAACTCCTTGGATTCTGGGCACACACAGATGCATATATGCAGGAAAACACTCATGCACATAAAAAAAAAGGTTTTAAAGGGCTGTAAGGACACAATGAGAGATGTCATCCATGAGAAAGTAGGTCCCACCACACACTGAATCTGATGGGACCTTGACCATGGACTTCTTCTTCTTCTTCTTTTTTTTTTTGATTGAAATACACTTTAATGAGAACCATTTCCTCAGTAACTGTGATCTGTAATCTCAGCTGTGTGGCATCAGGACTTTTCTTCCTGCTCCACTGGCTTCAGATGCCACTGCACTACCAGCTCCCCAGTGCTCTTGAGGCATGTGCTAGACATGGTCTCTTCTGTGGGAAGTCCTTGTGGCAGCTTCAGGGGCTGCATGTGTATCAAGTGATTAACCGTTTTCAACTTTGCATTCACCGAGGGGATGTTCTTGTGAATTTGAGGGGTATGTGCCTTCTGAAGTCCAAGCATCTTGATCATATCTTTTTCCCAGTATGGATGCCTTTTTGTACTTTTTATTCTTGTAGCAATGTGCAGTTTATGAGGGTGCTGGGGGTCCCCACCGTATTTTTCATGATCTTCAGGTCTAGACTGAAACACTTCATCTGGAATCCTTGATCTGGTAAATTTGTGACGAATCCATTCTGTACCAATGAGAGATTCCACACCTTTTTTCACAGTCTGCAGTCTGCCTGGAGGCCTCTGAAATACTGAGCGCAAAATGCCAGGCATAAGTATAGTAATTCTTCTCTTTAGAAGCTTTATAGAAAACAGACAAACACTAAAAGTTTGCACCAGGTGGTCAGGGACACGTGACACCAACAGTGATAGAAGCTGACAGAATTCCAGCCAGTACTACATAGTAGAAACCCACAACCGCTCTGTCCGACCATGGACTTCTAAGACTCCAGAATTGTTAAGAAATAATCTCTGTTATGTGTAAGTTGCCTAATCTATGGCATTTTGTTATAGCAATGCAAATGGATGAAGACAAAAGGCCACAACCATCATATTAAGAGGTGTATACTTTATATTTAACAAAATCATAATGAATTTATGTATTGGTTATAATCGTAATGACAACTTAATCTGTAATAATTTTTAACACTTTATAGCTTTTCCTATAAAGAAAAATCAACTTATATGCATATTTTGATATAGAGAAAAAAATAATAAACAAAAGGATTTCAAGCATGGAAAGGTGTTATACTAAAATAAAGTGAAGTTGAAGGACATTGGTTATGTGGTGTCTTAGTTAGGGTTACTTTTACTGTGATAAAGCACCATGACCAGAGCGACTTGGAGGAAAGGGTGTATTTGGCTTACATTTACTTCCATATCACTGTTTATCACTGAAGGAAATCAGGACAGGAATGCAAACAGGGCACGAACCTGGAAGCAGGAGCTGATGTAGAGGCTCCAGAGGGGTGCTGCTTACTGGCTTGCTCCCCATGACTTTCTCAGCCTGCTTTCTTATAGACCCCAGGACCACCAGCCCAGGGGTGGCACCACCCGCAATGGGCTGGTCTCCTCACATCAATCACTAAGAAACTATCTTTCAAGCTTGCCTATAGCCCCATCTTATGGGACATTTTCTCAACTGAGGCTCTCTCCTCTCAAATGACTTTAGCTTTTGTCAAGTTGACATAAAACTGTCCAGCACACGTGGATTCCAGGAGAAGAGAGGATACAAGATGAGGTTGATTACGATTATATAAATAGAAGAGCAAGGGCTTTGGTTGTTACTCTGTTCAGACACAGCTGGGTGTACTTATTAACAGTAGTCTTTTTAGTGGCAGTAGCCTTGAGTAGCTCCTACTGAAAGAATTAAAAAAAAAACTGCACATGAATGGAAAAGCAGCAAGAGTATTATTTAAAGAGAAAGCACAAGACAGGCAAGAGTGTAGCAGGCTACTTGGGCCAGAGTGCTCAAAACACTGGTTACCATTTGAGGCTTTCTTTTGTTGGGTCTCAAAGAAGGAGTCAGTTGCTAAGTGTGTGTGGTTATCTGTTTTGATTGATAGCCTTGGGTCATGTATCCTGCACATAGTTTCAATGATCCCAATTTTAATGATTTGCATGCCCAATCATGCAAAGGTATAAGGTGATTAAAAGGAGATTCTCCCAAAAGTTCACTCGGTGGACATAGGGGAGGGTCCCAGTGAAGTGGAGGGGTGTGTAGCTGAAGGCAGGGGAGGTCCCAGTGAAGTGGAGGGGTGTGTAGCTGAAGGCAGGGGAGGGTTCCATGTTGGGAAGGGGACTTGGGTAACTTAAGCTGAGTCCCAGGTTGCCAAGCTACACTATCCTTGCCTGCCTCACCTAGAAAGAGTGATACTACTGTTTCATATTGTTATAATAGCACCTACAGTCCCTGCAGTGACCTCCTTTCAATGAATTGAACTTATGACGAAAACTTTAAAATACCAATTTTAATAAGTAAAATCTAGCACACAGTTAAAACATTTCAGGAAACACATGAGGAGAAAAGTTCAAAGGGTTAGAACTTTAACATGTATTTAGGGGGATAAACAGTTCACCCTAGAACTTTGATCTTAAGTTTTCTAAACAAACTGTTAGTGAAACTAACCATGTGGAAAATATAAAATACTTCATGTCTAAGCATACGTAGGAAATTCATAGTATGGAAAACAGCAGTCACAGTGGAGATCTGCAATTCTGTGCCATTCACCCCCAGGTGGAATGTTAGCAGAATAAAACCTTGTGGGGAGTAAAAGAAAAAAAAAAAGAAAATCTGTGCTAATATTGAAGACAATGACTGGGAGAAAGAAATTGGTCTGGGAACTACTTTCCCAGGCCATAACCTGTGGAGAGGGATTGCATTAAGCTATAGGAAGCTCAGTGATATGATCACATAGACCAGTCTATGCTAAGGAGACTGTTCTATTACTAAAAGGACCTTTCATGAAGGTTCCAACACACGGGCACTAATTAAGAAGAATCCATGGAAACATGGTAAAAGGGCAAAGTAGTGTGAGAGGTGGAGCCTGATTTGGCCCAGCATGTTAGAGAGGACCTTTGTAAGGGGTGGGAGAGGAGAAGAAAGGAGGTGAGACAATGTGTCTGAGAAATCACATTACACCATGAAGTGAAGAACAGGAGGCTCTTTAGAGCAGACCCTTGATCAAATTTCTGAGGAGGCAGCCATGAAATAGCACTTCAGAGGAGCATGTTGTAGGTGACAAAGCAGTAGAAGCATGAAATTAAACTGTTATTTTTGGTCTTTTGAGACAGGATCTTGTATTGCAGCCAGATCATTCTAGAACTAACAATACTCTTTCTGCCTTAGCCTCTGAGTGTTGGAATAATTAAGTCAACTGTAATGTATTTATTTACAGATTTATTAGATAATCAAAGCAAGCCCTGAATAGCACTCGTTTAAACCTTAAGTTAATCAGATAGTATTTACAAGCCACACAAGGACATTCATTGCTTTGGGCTCCATATCCTTGGTTTAAAGGATACCAACACACCCTATGATTTTTATAAGTGGTTCTATTTAATACCATGATTAATGAGGGTTTTTTTTTGGGTATTTACAGACAAAAAAGACAAGTAGGTCATTGTAAAATAACCACAAATTCTTCCCTTACCACAAAGACATTGTTTTTATTTTCCTAAACTTTATGATATTTCTGCCAGCCTGTGCCCAGCTCTGTCCGGTAGAATGCAGTAGAGGTGAGGATGGAGGCAGATCTCAGTGGCAGAGTCTTCACTTCTCATGTGCAAGACCCTGTGTTTACTTCTCAGCACCGTGGGGAAAAAAGAAAAGTGAGAATGAGCAAGCCTGGGGTACAAGAATCTTTTTACACCTCTTCCTCTTTTTGATCCCTGACACCTCCACATGAACAAGCTCAGATCTCCTGCTTAAGGATGAGAAAATAAAAGGCCACATGAAACAAAGATGGATGGCCCTCCAAGAGTCCTCAGACCTGTGAGAGAGGCTAGCTGAAGACAGTGATTTTGAAGACAGTGATTTTGCAGCAGCCCACAGATGCACAAGTGAACCAGGAGGAGACGGAAGAAAGCCACCCAGAAGAAGGCAGCCTCAGCTGCTGACCCATGCAGTGCTTTGCTAGGAATATCCTTCATCTTTTCTATTTTTGGAGACATCAAGCCTTGAGGTGGTTCGTTATCTAGTAAAACTCACAGGCACATGAAGCTAACTAGCTAACTAGCACTGAAAGGTTATGAAGACAAATTCAGCAGAATGCATCCCTCAACTTTACTCATACTCAAGCTGTTCAGTTTTACAGGAGCTGATATGGGAAGGTTAAAATTTTAAAAACACATGCCGGGCGGTGGTGGCGCACGCCTTTAATCCCAGCACTCGGGAGGCAGAGCCAGGCGGATCTCTGTGAGTTCGAGGCCAGCCTGGGCTACCAAGTGAGTTCCAGGAAAGGCGCAAAGCTACACAGAGAAACCCTGTCTCGAAAAAACCAAAAAAAAAAAAAAAAAAAAAAAACCACTTAGGGATAGTATGGCATTTATGGCACAGTTACGTTGTATGACAAAACCTTCCCTGGGGAGAAGCAACAAACAGGCCTACTAACCCCAGATAGGGAAACCATGACAGACCAAAGCATGGATGCCACCAAAGCACAACTCGATGAACCATGACTTTTATTGGGGTTACTTACAGGAATATGGGTGAGGCTTACTTACGGGAGCAGAAAATTACAGGAGACAGCTGCATCACCATAGCCCACCCAGCATAGGCGATAGCTCACAAAGATGGGAACCTAGAGCACACTGCACAGCCTGCAGGCAGCTCAACAGGTTGGAGCGTGTCCTTTCAGGGTGCCTCAGCTGGTCTAAAACTCTTTCAGGCAGATCAGCTGGTTTCTGCTTCTTTACAACGTTGCTTGTCTGAGAGTCGTCTTTGCAGCTTGGCATGAATGAGAGGGATTCTCAGCCTTCATTGTTTACTCTGGCAAGGACAGCCTAGTGAATGTGGTCAGTTTCAGGGACTTCCTGAAACTCTTTTTTAGTTACCTTCCTGCTTAAGGAGCTTCTCTGCAGGAAGGAATGTTTCAATTTTGGAGGAAACTGTTACACAACAAATTATAAAAATTTAGACTATCCAGAGAAAATATAGGGATTTTTCTGATTCAGCAGCACATAAATTCCTTTAGTTGTTTTCTTATTACCATTTTTATGTAGACCATGCTGGCCTCAAATTAGTGATTCTGCTGCCTCAGTCACCTGAGTCTGGGATTATAGGCTTATACCACAATGCTTGATGAAAATACATTCCTGAAAATATTTGGAGCTAATGGGATGATACATGTCTGTAATCCCAGCATTAGGAGGCAGAGGTAGGGGGACTGCATGTTTGAAGTATCATGAAAAACAAGGAAAAATAGTTACAAAGCCTAAATTATAACTTAATAAACAAGTTATTTATATCTGGTTTGGTCTTAGGTTCACTATGTAGTCCAGGCTAACCTTCAGCTTACTATCTTCCTGCTTCTACCTCCCAGGTGTTTTGGTTACAGACACACATCACCACTCTTGGTCAGATTTTAATCTTTTAAGAGTAGATAAGTAAGGACTAGTCAAGAATTTCATCTTGCTTTCAGAGTTTAATGCAATTAGAAATCCTATTTTATTTAGAGTTAGAGATTTCAGCTAAGAGATGAAGCTGGGGGTGGAGACTGACCTGCACACCTTCAGGAACTGGGGCTGGGACAAAGGCTCGGTGATCTTCCAACCCAAAGCCCTTCTCCGCTCTAGGCCGCTGCCTTTGCAAGCACTGGTGAGAGAGAGGTGATGATCGGAATGCGTCATCGCAGGTGCCCTTGCCTTCTCTTGATGCAGTGGACGGGAAAGTGTTGATGAAGGCATTCTGGGGAGCATTAGCATCAGT